GAAAAACAGTGGTGAACTTTTTGGGCCCGGTGTGATATCAACGCCGTGTCCGTTTCATATTTACCGCGCCGTTTTCAATAAGCCACCTCCCGATAGATAGCGCAGGGCGTGGTGGGGCGGGGCGGGGCGGGGCGGGGGGGGGTGGGGCGCGGCGGGGTGCGGCCGAGCGGAGATATTGTTTCCCAGGCAGAAGAGGCGCGTGGTTTCCGATTTTGTTTGACAGGCCAAAGTGTGTGACTGGTGACAGGGCCCGGAGCCCCGCGCGGAGGAGGGCGACGGGGGCCTGTTGCAGCGGGTCGCGTCTTTTATTTATACTCTGCGAAAAAAGTTTTTTTTTTTTCAAATTGGACCAATCCCATTCCACGACCTCCCCCACCACCACTTTTCCTCACACGAAACGCAATTCGCTTATTCGCAGAAATTGGCTCCTCTGGTTCACAGGGAAGACGGGCCGCGCAGCGCCGCGGGAGTCCTTAAGGGCGCCTAAGGGGGCTCGAGGTAAACACCTCGCACGTGGCGTGTGTGTGTGTGTGTGTGTGTGTGTGTGTGTGTGAAAGTGGGGGGATGGGGGTCTTCATGAAGATTTTTCATCTTAGGCGGCCAAAACTCTAGACGCGTTTTGAGCTCCAGAGTCGCTAAACAGGACTCGAGCCCGTGTGACCCCACCAATGGATTGCTCTCCGAACGAGGAATCCATTGGTGGGGTCACACGTTCGGTTCGAGTCCCGTTCAGCGACTCTGGAGCTCAGAACCCGTCCGGGATTCTGACCGCCTGCACCGGTCTTCTGGCAAATCCACTGTGCGCGCTGCTTGCGTGCTGCTCGCTCGGTGGAGGGCACTTGAAGCCAGCTCCTCCACTGGCAAGCGTTGCCATCTTTTGCCTCAGCTTATTCATGGCACATTGGTTTGATATTCAAGGACAGCAAAGCAGCCCCGCTACTGGAGGAAACAAAAACAGTAACAACAACAAAAGGACGGAAAAAAGAGCCCCTTTAGCAAACGTCACGTTTTGCTCGTGTGAGTCGCAGCAGTGCGGATCCGAACCCTTATGTGCACTTCGGCCGGCCGTCGGGGGAGCCGGGGAATGCAAAGACGCACATTACGGAGAGAAAGAGAGAGAGAGAGAGAGAGAGAGAGAGAGAGAGAGGAGAGAGAGAGAGAGAGAGGGAGAGAGAGTGAGAGAGAGTGAGAGAGAGTGAGAGAGAGAGAGATAGAGAGAGAGAGAGAGAGGGAGAGAGAAGGGGGGGGCGTGGGTCGCGTTGGCATTATCTGTCAATTATATTGCGGCCTTGCCTGCTATGCACTGCTAGGCACCAAGGAGGGACCGCCTGCAGAAAGCAATGTAGCACAATTACATCGTTCTAATGCAGTGGCCCTGCCGCGGCGCAATTTCAATTTGGTGCCATCGAGACGGCGGCGGTGGCGAAGACGAGGCTCCCTCGCGGGGCATTAAGTTTCGGAACAGGTGGAGAGCGCGGAAACACAGATATGCATTGCCAAAAAAGTTAAAAAGTTAAAAAAATCCCGAACTTTTTTTAAATTTTCAATGAACGATATGAGCAGGAAGTGGTAAAGCAAATCTATGCGCTGGAAACGAGACGAAACGCGAATGAAACGACTCGAAAGACGCATATCTCCTCACTCTGACGATATTTGCATGGGTGAAACATTTCTTTTAGCAAACTTTAGCGAGAGGGCCCTTGTGTGCGCACTCTCTTTCCGCGGAGACATTGTCGAGGCCGTAATTTTTACTGGCTGAGCAATGCATGCATGCATCACGATGCAGTGGGGCCGCTCTGTGCCGTGGCGTGTGCCTTCGCGGTGCCGTGGTGGGGAGTTGCCGAGTGCCTCGCGTTGAGCAAGACGAAGCAATTCGCGATAAGTTTTGATTCATGCGTGGGTCTCCGAGGAGGGAGAGAGAGTCGCCGGTTCGATCCCCGCCGTCCCCCTTTTTACTGTTTTCCAAGTTATCAGAATGCCTCAAATACCGAACGTCCCGGCCCCTTCCTCGCTGGGCCCACGGTCTGAACCGCAGCGCGCCCCGTCCGTCGTGGGCGAAGAGCTTCTGTTCCCGTCCTTGTTGGACGCTCGAAATGAATGTTTGCGCGCCTCCGTCGGGTTCTCTCCGTCTCGCAGGATATGAAGACACACGGAGGCGTCCTGCGCACAATGTAGAGCGCACCCCTCAATTCCATTAATTCACCGACCAAAAAGTAAAGTCTCAGTTTTATAACGAGGGACGCGTAGCCTGGTGAGGTCAACCAACCCGGAGCGGCAAAAAAAGGGTCAAGTGCGAAGCGCGGGACTCAGCCGTTATCGGAGAAGGACTTCCATCATTGTCGTCAAAAGGCTTTAATCGGATCGGCTTGTTCCTTGCTCATCCCGTTATCGGGATTTCGTTTTGCTCGTTACTGTTCGTCACCGCTCCATTATTTGCGTGGATTACTGACGTTTTCAGCACGGCTTCGCCGCGGCCCCATTTGACTCGGCCCGGCCGGCCGCGCGGGCGTCTGGGCTGCCAGCCTCGGCTGTCCCGCTCTTGCCTGCCCTCGGCCCGGCCCGCCTGGCCCACGGTCGCCACCGAGGACATTTGGGGCTGACGGCTCCACTTAGGGCGCCGGGCACGGCATGGCCCTGCCCACCCTGCCCGCGCCCCTGCCTGCTCGGGGAACAACACATTATGCACGGGAGGTGCGGCACATTGGCGAAGAGTGGAAAGCGGAAAAGCGATTGTCGCTTCAATGACAGGCAGCTTCTCAACAACAACACAGACTAAAGTAAAGGGACGTTTGTTTATTTCAGCTCTCGAGTATCTCCGATTTTGTCTAAGCACCTCCTCAGTTTTTGTCCAGCATTCGCCGCAGGCTTGGCCGCAGGTCCCCGAGGCCCGCGGACGTTGCGCTCGCGGTTCCCCATATTGCCCGCTCACCCAAGTAATATCACAGTAATTTGAGGGAGAAATGAATAGAGGCCTCGGGGCAAACTGCACCATGAATCAGGCCTCCACGACGGCCTCCTCGACGGCCTCCACGACGGCCTCGGCGGCAGGGAATGACCACGATCTACCTTCCTCAAGATTCGTTATTAGTTCCCGCCAAAAAGAGACCATTGTGCGGACAACAGGGAAACAACACCTGTTGCTAGCGCCAACCTCACGTGTTCATACACTCTCCGAGCCTTGACGCCTGCATATACTGGCATCGTAATTTGCTTATTTTTATTCGGGGGTGCTTAAAAAAGAACCTCCGACCATCGGCGTGGTCATGTGGCCATGACGCTCACGTTATTTTACCCGTGTATTGCCCCTGGACGGGGTTGAAGCCTGCCACCCCCCTCCCCTTCAACCCCCATGGCATCCTCGCTAACTCTTCCCCCCCCCCCGGCCCGCTGCCATTGTCTGTCTATCTCGCAGACAGTCTGTTCCGCCACCACACTCACACGCGCGCGCGCACACACACGCCAAAGTTGAAGTTCTCAAGGGTTTGTTTGTCTTCTGCACGCAATATTCTGTATCAGGTAGTCTTTACAGGCCTGCGCCGAAGACAGGCGGACGCTCACTCACACTAACGCCCGTCGCACAAAGCGGAGAGATCAGGGAGGAGGGTAAGAGACATGTGAGGGGAGGGGTAGCTCTCGACCTTGCTTGCGTTGGGAGCGGCGCAACCGTATCCCGTCGTACGGTGACGCCCCCCCCCCCCCCCCCCGGTCGAACGCAGTCACAGGAAGGATCCGGCATTCATGCGCCTCTTTGTGCACTTGGTGGAGGCCGTCGAGTTGGCCGGCCACCACTACCCTTGGGCCTTGGGGCTTGGGGCTGCGGAGCGCTGCCGAGCCGTGTATAGCCATGTGGCGACGGGGATGGCCCTGCCGGCCTAGTGGTGCCCAGTGGTGCCCAGTGATGCCCAGTGGTGCCCAGTGGTGCCCAGTGGTGCCCAGTGATGCCCAGTGGTGCCTAGAGGTCATCAGGGATGAGATGCCGACGGGGGGCGGCCTCGAATAGGCCCGCCCACGCCCAAGGCCCGGCCGGACCAGCAGCCGCAGCGAGGAGCGGCGCGGCCGGCCAAAACCCCAGACGCGTTTCGAGCTCCAGAGTCGCTAAACAGGCCTCGAACCGAACGTGTGGCCCCACCAATGGATTCCTCGTTCGGAGACCAATCCACTGGTGGGGTCACACGTTCGGTTCGAGGCCTTTTTAGCGACTCTGGAGCTCAAAACGCGTCTGGAGTTTCAGCCGCCCCCACCGGTCTTCACTGTGATTGGCCGAGATTCCCGGCCGCCGCGATCCGCGGAACGAACGCATTATCCGACTGTCAGACGGATGAGCGCGCCGCCGCACACGGCTTGATCCACCGGGCTATGTTCCGACCGATTCCTGTCGGCTTGTTCGCACACTCGAAAAATTGCGTCCAATTTCAGTCGAATCGGATTAAAATTTGGTTCATTTTGGCGTGTACCGGTTCTTTCTGCGCCGCCATTAACAGCCGTCGGCTTGCGTTCGCCCGGCGACGCGCGTCCTGCGCGGTGGCACACTGGCAGCACTGGCAGCCCTGCCTGGCCGGGCCGCAGACGGGGTTCGTATAATATTTTCCGCTGACTGTGCACCGCGACCCGTTTCGTTATTCTAGATCGCATTTCCAATAATTCAATAAATAAGGAAATTGAGTGTATAATAAGGGGCTCGCGTACAGTGGCGTGCAGGGGGGTTGACGTCGTCGGAGGGCCTCGCGTCAAGGAGGCTTTGACGCGTGGGGAGGTTCACTGGCACGCTCCGGAGTCTCAGGGGTGCACAGTGGGCCAGAGGACCGATGGAGCGGCCAAAACTCCAGACGCGTTTTGAGCTCCAGAGTCGCTAAATAGCACTCGAACCGAGCGTGTGACCCCACCAATGGACTGACCTCCGAACGAGGAGTCCATTGGTGGGGTCACACGTTCGTTTCCAGTGCCTTAGCTCAAAACGCGCTGCACTGTTTGACACGAACCGCTATTTCTCCTTGTTGCAGATGGGCCAGATGGCGTCGTCGACGTGCACCGCAGGCGGCTGCAAGGCGGGCAGATGGCAGTCGCCAGGGTCGCCTCGGCGTCTGACGTCAGCATGACGTCAGCATGACGTCAGCCCGATGTCAGTCCGATGTCAGCGCGTCAGCCCGGCGGCGTGACAGGCATGGGACATGCTCAGCCTGATGCCAGTCAGATGGCAGCCTGATGTCAGCCAGATGGCGGCCCGTTCCGGGGGCTGCGGCCGGCCTGTAGTGGATCAGGCATAAGGGTGAGTGGCACGGCGTCCTGCGGGGCCGGGGCGGGGTGGGGCGGGGTGGGGTGGGGGCGCGGCGGGGCGGGGTGCGGCGGGAAGGGGCGGGGCGGTTATCAGTCGGTAGTCAGCGTTTTCTGAGAGGTCTATTCTCCACTTCTCTCCCTATGCGCCACGTCCCAGGCAGCCCCCCCCCCTGCTCCGCTCACACATGCTCTTTCGGCCCTCTGGATCCAGGGAAATGACACAGTGAGCCGCCTGCATGCAATCCGCAGCACTAGTCCAGTGTAGGACCAGCCGCCGTCTCCCTCTGACATTTCATTATTGCTCTATGCGCGGCCCGGCTTTGGACTGCGTCCGTGGGCGTGTCTTTGTTCTGCCCGTGTGTATTTTCCTGACGAGCAATCCGGACTGGGGGCTGCGGTTGGATTATCACCCCGCACAGTGGGCCGGAAGACCGGCGGAGGCGGCCACAACTCTAGACGCGTTTTGAGCTCCAGAGTCGCTAAGTGGGACTCGAACCGAACGTGTGACCCCACCGATGGATTCTCGGAGAGCAGTCCATTGGTGGGGTCACTCGTTCGGTTCGAGTCCCACTTAGCGACTCTGGAGCCCCTCGAGTGCGAGGGGGAGTGTTCGCCCCGCAGACTTATTCCGAGAGTCGGGCGCCAGATAAGCGGTACGGCGATAAGCTGTCCCAAATCACTATCGGCTCCAGTCATTTTGCATGCGCGCAAAAAAAATTGGGTCACGCCGCCGAGAAGGCGCAGAAAAAAATTATGGTGCTACATGACGAAATACGTCACCTCTTCAGCAGGGAGAGAGAGAGGGAGGGAGGGAGAATGTGTTGGTGTGGGGGTATGTTGGGTGGGGGTACCTTACAGGGGCGGCGTAAAAAGAGAGAAGCGAAGCGGCCTGCTTTGGTAGGATTAGATGGCCAGACCCTGGTCTGTATCAAGCCAGGCCGCTGGCCCACTCATTGTTCTCTCTCTCTCTCTCTCTCTCTCTCTCTCTCTCTCTCTCTCTCTCTCTCTCTCTCTCTCTCTCTCTCTCTCCTCTTCCCTTCTCTCTCCTTGATCCCCTCATTCTTTCCGGATATGAGAACATTGATAGATCCATAGGGGGCTGATCAGTCTTTGTGTGACGGTGGAATCATACTCCCGTGATTGCCGTAACCCAATCACGTCCGACGTAACCCGTCCTCGTCCTTCGCGCCACTGGCCGCCTTTCACTACTTGCCATCTCACTCCCTCCTTTTTGCAGTCCCTCTTTTCCTCTCTCTCTCTCTCTCTCTCTCTCTCTCTCTCTCTCTCTCTCTCTCTCTCTCTCTCTCTCTCCCAACCCCCCGCGTGTCTTTTGGTCACACCGGCTCCCCACGCAAAGTGTAGTGAGTGTGGCGCGTGGTGAGGACTTATGCGACATGATCTGGCCGTGTGTGTGTGTGTGTGTGTACAGGATGCGCAGAAAAGAGTATTTGACTTCTTTTTCTCGCGGTTTCTTCCTTGTTTTCATCGGTGCTGGCGGGGCGGGTAAATGGAAAGAAGGGTAGAGAAAACAGGGAGAGGGAGAAAGGGGGGGGGGGACTGCGGATAGTAGTGCTCCATTGAAAGGGGGTGGGGGGTGTCTGTTCCGAAAAAGTTTGGACAGCATTAGTGCGACTCGGGGCGGGTTCGTCGTCTGTTTGGGTTTGGACGAACAGACTGGATGCAACGTTCTCTCCTCCATTCCGTTTTCATTTTGTTTATTTCGAGTTTTTTCTCTTTTTTTAAGTGAGTTAAAAGTATAATTTTGGTTGTAAGAACCACTTCTAAAACGCGGTAGACCGGTTTCCTCTGAGGGCCTGCTCTCGAATCAGCGCCATTCAAATCAATAGCTCTGCGGATGGGGAAAGCCCTCATCTCACTCATTCCGTTTCCCTTAGCTCTCTCTCTCTCTCACTCACTCTCTCTCTCTCTCTCTCTCTCTCTCTCTCTCTCTCTCTCTCTCTCTCTCTCTCTCTCTCTCTCTCTCTCTCTCCTCACTCACTCTCTCTCTCTCTCTCTCTCTCTCTCTCTCTCTCTCTCTCTCACACACACACACACACACACACGCCCACTATGCGCATCCCGCAGTGAGTCCTGCTTCTATCGAGGCAAACTTTTTCACCCGAGAGCAAAACAGCGAGGCTGAAAGACTTCGGCAACACACGGTTTTGTCCAAGAGCCAATCGCTGGAGCGGGTAAATTAACCTTCAAACAACTAAAACCCAAAATAAAGTGCTGCTTTTTTCCCCCTTCTTTTTCCACACGTCATCGTCTCTGCGGCGGGAAAACTCTTTTCCTAATGCGTCGTGTCCGCTGGTTTTTTTTTTTCGGTGGATGTGTTCTCTTTTTTTTCTCTTTTTTTTGCCGCCTTTCTTCTTGGTGCGGCTTGCTTCCATTGTTATTTAAGGCGGCGTGGCGGGGCGTGGCGGGGCGTGGGGGGCAGGACGCTTCTTGTCCGAGCCGCCCGAAGCGTTTGACGGCCCCGCTGAGGGCGCATGGTGTGGCCGCCCGGCGCCCCCTCCCTTCCTCCTTAACCTAATAATGACAGAACAGCCAATTGTGTAAGGCTGATGAATTTTAGTGCGTCAACCACGCACACCCTGGGCATGCCCTGGCCGGGCTGGCCACCCTGGCCATCTGTGCGTGAGGGGGGCGAGGTAACCACCCTTCCTCTCTCTCTCTCTCTCTCTCTCTCTCTCTCTCTCTCTCTCTCTCTCTCTCTCTCTCTCTCTCTCGTTGATATGAACGATTCCTATCTAGCGGCGCGCGAGAAATCGCGTCTCCACGCACCGCATTGCTCATAGGAAATTGCTTCTCGAGTTGCGTCTGCCTAAACACACTTCCTGACCACTGCCGTGCGCCGCTGTTCCTACCGCTTGGTCACCTTCGCCGTCTCTGTCGCTCCCACTGTAAAGTCCGCGCGGAGCGACGGGGACGGAGCTAACCACACACGGAACGCCGTCTTGGATCTCATTCATTACCGGAGTCATCGCGGCGCGAGTCCCGAACAAGAGGCAACACAAACAATGTCTCTGCCGAGGGTGCGCTATCAGGATGGGGCTTATCCATGCCTTAATCCAGCCACAGTGGGCCAGAAGACCGGTGGAGGCGGCCAAAACTCTAGACGCGTTCTGAGCTCCAGAGTCGCTAAGTGGGACTCGAACCGAACGTGTGGCCCCACCAATGGATTCCTCGTTCGGAGGGCAATCCATTGGTGGGGTCACTCGTTCGGTTCGAGTCCCATTCAGCGACTCTGGAGCTCAAAACGCGTCTAGAGTTTCGGCCGCCTCCACCGGTCTTCTGGCCCACTGTGCCCAGACTACCTGCAGGGCTCGGAGTGTCATCAAGTCCGCCTGTTTGTTCCGGCGTTTCGTTTTTTTCCAACATTCGGATTGACTAGGGAAGCAATCTCCTTGGCCTTGCGCGGCCCTTGCTGCCCGTGCTGCCCTTGCACTCCTGGTGGTTTCTCCGACCCTATTGGCCCAGGGCCACGGGCAGGGCCACGGGGTGGAGGGCCCGGTCCCGACACATGCAGAACACTCCGGACAGCAGGTAGTGCCCTGCCAGGAGCACAAAACTCGGGAAAGCCGAGAGACGCTGTGATGCACCCGCCAAAGCGGGAAAAAAGCGATGCCGTCTCGGTATTCGAACCCGCGACCTTCCCCTCGCGAGCAACTTTCCCCGGGATGCCATCGGCACGCGGCGCGCGCTGCGTCTCGTCCTTGATTTGTTGAGGCGTTGTAGCGCCGGGCCGGGCCGGTGCGGTGGCGGCTCGGGGGCGGCGCGGGGCGGCGCGGGGGCGGCGCGGGGGCGGCGCGGGGCGGCGGCCCGCGGGGAAATACCTCGCCTCTCTCTCGCACCCGAGCGGCCCGCGGCCCCCGGGGACCGCGCGTCTCTCTCGCACCCACGGCGGAGATGGCGCGCGAGGCGAGCGCGAGGTACAAAAGGGTTCGAACGAATAATGCCTTGGATAATTAACTCGCCCCAAGACCCAGAGGCCGAAGGGTCTTGAACGGCCCCACGAGCCCCAGGCCGCCCCTGCAGACTGACTCCGAGAGTCGTTTTCGTCGCTCTGTCTCTCTCGCACTCGTGGGGCGTTGCGGGTCCGAGGGAGACAGAGCGACGAAAACGACTCTCGGCCCGAAGGGTGCCGAGGGGAGCCGAGGGAAGCCGAAGCAACCCGAAGCAACCCGAAGCAACCGCCCCGCCCGGCCTGCGGTCTCGGGTCGGTCAGCGGGGGCGGGGCGGGGCGGCGTGGGTGCAATTCAAATATCTAGCGTTTTCGCCGTTGCTAATGACGTGCTGGCTCCCGCGGGGCCCTGGACGTGGGGGCGCTAACCAACGCGCGGTGGGGCGTGGCGGGGCGGGGCGTGGCGGGGCGTGGCGGGGCGGGGGGGCGTGGCGGGGCGGGGGGGGGCGTGGCGGGGCGTGGCGGGGCGGGCGGGGCGTGGCGGGGCGGGGCGGGGCGGGGCGTGGCGTGGCGGGGCGTGGCGGGGCGTGGCCGGGGCGTGGGGCGGGGCGGGGGGGGCGGGGCGCGGGCGGGGCGTGCGGGGTGGGGCGGGTGAGCCACTGTCGTCCAGAAGGACAGCACACGTTTAATTCGGTCGCGCCAAGTGCATTTTAATTGGGCAGACTTTATTTTTGTTGTTTTTTTGCTTTGCCGTGGCTCTGCCGCCACCCTGGCCTGTACACGCCCCGCCCCCATGCTCTGCCCAGCGGTTCCGGAAAGGGCTTCTCTCTCTGTCTCTCTCGCACCCCTACGCAGCGGCCCACGAGTGCGAGAGAGACGGAGTGTGCCGGGCGAAGACGGATGAGGGGAAGCGGTGCCGGACCGCACTGACACCTCCACCTGCCATCCGCTGTCACCCGCATTTCATTCCACTTTTTACTTCTCTCCCTCGCCGTATTTCGCGACTCAAATTCCTCCCAGAGAAGTTGTCGGTTAATTTCACCGAACAGTGCTCTCGACGCCGTGTCTCTCTCGCACTCGCGGACGCGCCGAGGGTGTGAGAAGGACAGAGCGACGAACCACTGTTTGGAATCCGCCCGCTGGTGTCTGGGATTAATCAATTTATGGTGCGGGGTGTGAGTGAATGTTTCTCTTATCACCTCTCTCCCTCCCCCTTCTCTCTCTCTCTCTCTCTCTCTCTCTCTCTCTCTCTCTCTCTCTCTCTCTCTCTCTCTCTCTCTCTCTCTCCCTCGCAGGTGTACGCAGGGCGGATGTCTCGATGAGATGACGTCTCCGTTCCTCTACCATTCACCCTCCGTCCCCCAATACCTATGCCTCCATTATGCCCTCGGATCATTCCTCGTCCTCCGAGTACCTCTTGATCCAGAATGATCCTTCATTTGCGCTTACCCCCATGAACATTCCCGTGACCCTTATGACCTAACCCCGTGACCCACCGTGACTGTCTGCCAATGGCCGTCACTGTCACCCCTGTAACTACCACCGTCAACCCCCTTTTCTTTGCTCTCCGCGGCAAGGCAAATGCCACGGTGTTTGCCCTACACTGTGAGTACACTGTGTGCAGTCCAAAGACATTAGCTAATTCGCACTCGGCAAGTTTGGCGCGGCGGAACGTGTGGAGAGCTCTGGGGGGGGGGGGCATCCTTGGAACGATCACACTCAACTCTTGAGTAAATTACAAGTTTATGCATTAAAAATAAATGTCCGCACCGGGATTTGAACCAGCGTCCTTGTGTTCCAGGTCGGGATGGCCGCAGGGTGGCCGATGGCTGCTCGTGTCTGGTCTCACTTGCTGTTCGGCTACTACGTCGTCATCGCCCTGCTGTCCCCGCTGTTCGCCGGCCAAGACCTGTCGTAAGTGCACCAACATTTTTCTCTGCTCTTGGTATCAAATTTGAAACTAGAAAACGGAAAGAAAAATGTGGAACTCTACACAATGGGGAGGCCCCCTGCTTTGCATCGGTGTTCGGGATGGGAACCGGTGCTATCAGGTACCTGGGGTTCGTGACGCCTGGTAGAATTTTTTTGAACCGGACAAACTGGACTGGAACAAGGAAATGTAGCGGCACGTAGATGCTTCGAATAACTAACCGGGGGCGTGCCTTTTGGGGCCTTTTGGGGCCTTTTGCGGCGTGCGCGCGCCAGACTTTCTTCTCTTTTTCCTCTTCCGGAGTGGAATGTGTTAATGGCTGGCAGAAAAAGAGGAGTGGGTAGCCGAGCCGCGGTGACAAGCCGTATGCACAGCAACGAGCAGCCGACTGGAGGCCCTTTCGTCGCGCTGTCTCTCTCGCACCTATGCGGGACAGCCCGTGAGTGCGAGAGAGACAGAGCGACGAAGACGACTCAGGGAATCGCACCAAATGCATTTCAAAATTCAATTCTTCATTCGCTCCTTCGTTTCACCGAGCAGTTTCAGTTTTTTTCGTGAGACACAGACAATATCGAATATGAAATTTAACGCGACAAATTTAACTTCCGAATAAACTCAAACAACATTTCATTGTTCATTTTCGCGTTTTTTTCTCCCTCGCTGCATTAGGCGAGTGTGATGGACCTTCTAATGAGGGGTGGCTGTGATGAAGCAGGGGCCACTATCACACGGTGCACTTGTGTGCACGCCCCCCCCCCCCCTCCAGCGCGTGGACTTCCATTTAGCGAAGCCGTAATTCTATTCCTGGCCCGCCGGCACCTGTAAACATAGTGCAATCCCACCCCGCCTCGCCCCGCCGTAGGACGCATAACACACACGGTCCGTGGAGCTCAGTGCACTCTCCGTCGCCATGGCTACGCCCGGCTGCGGGCCGTTTTTGCCGCCCGTCCTCGCCTCTGGCTGCCCCCGGCTGCCCCCGGCTGCCCCCGGCTGCCCCCGGCTGCCCCCGGCTGCCCCCGGCTGCCCCCGGCTGCCCCCGGCTGCCCCCGGCTGCCCCCGGCTGCCCCCGGCTGCCCCCGAACGCCCCTGGCCAGTGGAACGGTGAAGCCGGGCGGACGGACAGACAAGCGATCCCGTTGCGGACAAAACACACACAAACAGAAAAATCTCATTCAACGAACGTTAATGAAAGCAGATGATCCGTCGCGTTTCACAACTGCTGTGATAGCCGAGAGGTTAGAGACGTGGGGTCGAGTTACCGCAGGCGGGCGTTCGAATACCAGCGTCACATACGTTTTTTCGACTTACTATCCTTAGGGTGGTGGTTCGAGGCCATCCGAGCGGAGCCGTGTGCAACAGACCCACATGCCGGAGGTTCGACTCCTAACAAATATTTCCATTTAATTTTACTGCCTCACCCAGTGCGGTTGAAACCCGTGAACGTGAGCCCATTCCGTGCATGGGACGTGGTGGTCCAGGGAGTAGAGGCGTCGGTTTCCAATGCTAGGGTCGGCGGTTCGACTCCCCCAACTTCTTGCGAAATTTTGACCGGATCGGTCGAGTCCTGTTGCGTCAAGAACCCACCTCACACCGGTCCCCTCATCATGGGCCGTGGTGGCCGAGAGCGTAAAGTCGTGTGATCCCGGTGGCGAGGTCCGGGGATCGGATCTCATCATTTCGTTACATTTTTCGACTGCCTTCCTCCCACTGCAACTCAAACCCGTCGTCCAACACGCTGCCAGACGTACAAGCGTGATAGCGTAGTGGTCAGAGTCACATTCACCTGGCCACTCCGCTGTGGGTGTCTAAAAAGCAATCCGCTTCGGCGGGTTGGCCTCGGCACTGGAGCGATGGAGTATTTGATCCATCAATCCAGACCATCCGGTGTGTGGTTGCGGGTGGTGCCTCCTTGACTCGTCGGGGAGGCGATGATAAGTCCTTTGAAGCTGGCCTAAAACGCTGTATGTTCGGTACGGGAGCGCCGGACAGTGGGGGTACCATGGGGTACACAACCAACCCTACGAAAACAAAAAGCTCCCACCAAACCTCTTCTCTGTCTGAGTCTCTCTCTGTCTCTCTGTCGTCTCACTCTACGTCCCGCCCCTCAAAGAGCTTCGTACTGGGTGCTCTCACCCAGCTGCCTGAGCTTTGGGGTCCTACTGGGTCCCCCGGCGAACGCTTAGAGTCGCTGACGGGATTAACCCCAGGTACCTGATAGCACCGGTTCCCATCCCGAACACCGAAGTAAAGCAGGAGGCCTCCCCATTAAGACTGGGGAGGGGGTGTAGAGTTCAAATTTTTTTCTTTTCCCTTTCAAATTTCTCAGTCAATACTCGTTCGGTTTCCTTGTACGGGGTAGTAAGTGGGCTCATTCCAAAGATAGTAATTAAAATTGTGTATGAAACAAAATGTGTGTCTGTGTGTCAGTGTGTCTGTGTGTCTGTCTGTGTGTGTGTGTGTCTGTCTGTCTGTCTGTCTGTCTCTGTGTGTGGCTCTTCCAGAGCCCCTCGGGAGGCCGCGCGTGCGCCAGACTTATACAAGGATCTTGTTTCTGATCGTGTCTCTCCGCCCGGATTGATAAGCATTGTGGCTCCGCGCACACGCACACACACACACACACCCACACACACACACACACATTGGCACAGTGTACGCTCCCCGCAGACACACACGCACACACGCGCACAGACGCAGGCGCGCGAGAACACAGTTAGGTCCCACTCAGACACGCGCACGCCCCCGCAGAACGATTCCGCCCCAGGCGGTCTGGCCCGGCCTGGCCCGGCCTGGCCCGCTTCAAGGATCTAGCGCGGAATGAAATTTGACGAATCTGTTGAGGCTCTTGAGAGCCGAGGCCGAGGCGTGAGGCGCTCCCTCCTGGTCCCCTGGTCGGCCGGCATGGTAATGGCCTTGCACTGTCTCCCTCGCACTCGCAGTGCGCCAGAAGACCGGTGGAGGCGGCCGACTCCAGACGCGTTTTGAGCTCCAGAGTCGCTGAACGGGTCTCGAACCGAACGTGTGACCCCACCAATGGATTCCTCGTCCGGAGAGCAATCCATTGGTGGGGTCACACGTTCGGTTCGGGTCCCATTTGGCGACTCTGGAAGGCCTCTCCAAGCCTCGAGCGCCTGCGATGCCCGGCCTAGGCCACCCGCTCCACAGCCGTGCGCCCGTCCTGCCTACGCGCCGCTCTGCAGGGGCCCCCCGGCTCAAAATAGGGACAAGCAGGGACCTCATTCACGTGCAAATTTTCACAACATACGTCAATACTTGTGCACGGAGAGTCTATAAGCTTTTAGTTTCCTGCTTCGCTGCGGGACAGCATGGCCTTCTCGCGCGAGCCGGCATGCGGCGAGCTCTCTCCGTCCTTCCCCCCGCCGGGGCCCCGCCGCCCAGATTTCTCCATTATTTTACGGAGCCAACTTCGTAAACTACTCCGGGCCGGTGGTGCTGCCCTTGGTTTTTGTAATCCGGCTCCGGCCCGCGTGGATGGGAGGTGCCCGCGCTGGCGTCGCCTGCTGCAAGGGGGGGGGGGCAGATTCTCTCGCAAGCAGTCCAGTCTATAAACGTGTCGAAGGTGGCTTGTTCGGGGACTCCACTCCCTGTTCTCTGCCCCCCCCCCCCCCCCGGCTCTGACGGCGTCACCTGTTCGCCTGATACATTGTTTTCGTGCTGCAGTCGTAAAATCGCGGCGTGGAGCGAGTTTTAAGACTCGAGGAGTTCGCTTGCCGCGGTGGATGCGGGGCGGGGCACTGGAAGACCGAACGATAATAATGGTGTGGTGCTGGGAATTTCGAGTTGATAACGTTGCACTGGCGAATGGCATCGCATCGGTTTGAAGCAAATCGAAAACAAAAATTGCTCCGTCTTTTTTTCCTCAAGTTGTTCTCCGTACAGCAGTCTTTTTTTTGTGTTTTTAGGGGGTTATAAATTTTTTTTGCGAGTAGGGCGATAGGAGCAGCAGGAAGGCGTTGATGAGACCGATGTGCCGTGTGCAGTGGGCTGCAGCGCGGGGATGTCCTGCAGGGTCCCAAGAGTCCTTCTCGCTCGCTCCCGCACGGGCCGCCCGCAAAAGTGCGAGCGAGACAGAGCGACGAGGACGACCTCCGCGGAACCAGCCCACTGGGACGGACTGACGGACTGGGGCGGGCGACCGGCCGGGTGATCTGCATTTTATTTCCTGATCTCGTTATCTAGAGCGCCTCAACCTGGTCGCCCCGCCTCTCTCGCCCTTTCGTTCCGCGGGAGAGAGAGACAGAGAGGGAAAGCTCCGCGCTGGAGAGGCCGAGAGGCTGACGGTGGAGAGATCGCTGCAGTGCAGGCCCTCCAAATGGCCAGCAGCGCGTTTATTTCTTTTAGTTTACCTTTTTTAGAGTAAATACGTCGCAATCAAGGGCCGGATGGATCGCCGTCGCGGATGAACGGATGAATGAAAACGAAAACGCGAAAACGAAAACTTCTGTTCAGTACAAAACTGCCTGAAGGGGGACAATGAAGATGTAGAAAAAAGCTGAGAGACTCATTGATTGGCAGGCACCGCATCCCCGCCGGCCCCACGGTCGAGGCGCCGCAGAGCAACAACCACAAGAACATCTCGGACCTCCTGGACGACCTGCTGCGAGGCTACGACAACAGCGTCCGGCCCAACTTCGGAGGTGAGTCCAGTGACGTCACGATGACGTCGCCGTGACGTCACCATCGACACGTGCCCGCGCCGGCCTGCGCCCCCGGCCGTCTTTGTGACGACGCCCTAATCGTAGAATGCTAATGCGATGACACCGGGCCTATCAAAGTTGTCCCTCGGGTCTTGGAGGGCCCAATCCCTCCCCCTCCCCCGCTGGCTGTGGCTGAGCCCCACGCTGGACGCGCGAGGAGAACTTGTCCGATTTGGCGGGAGCTGAAATGTTTACCAAGTTTTTTTTTGTTTTGTGTTTCCGAGTGGAATTAGCGCGGCCCTTGCAATCGCGAATTGATAGCCACGTGGTAGAGGGCAGCGCTGAGAAGACCGGGATTCCTGGTTCGATCCCCTCTTCCGCAACTTGATTTTTTTTTCACTTTTTTTCTTGATTGGATGCTTCCAGGGCCGCCGGCCGTCGTCGAGGTGGACATCATGGTGAGGAGCATGGGGCCGATCTCGGAGGTCGACATGGTGAGGGGTGTAAACAAGATGATGAGGAATGAGCCGGCGCGACGATTTACTAAACTGTCAAACATTCCCCCTCCAGACGTACTCCATGGACTGCTACTTCCGGCAGAGCTGGGTCGACCGCCGCCTCGCCTTCCAGGGCAACAAGGAGACCCTGGCGCTGTCCATCAAGATGCTGCAGCGCATTTGGAAGCCCGACACCTACTTCTACAACGGCAAGCAGTCCTACCTGCACACCATCACCACGCCCAACAAGTTCGTGCGCCTGTACCAGGACGGCCGGGTGCTGTACTCCTCCAGGTAGGGCCCCACGCACAAATCGGTGGAGGCGGTCGAAATCATGGACGCGTTTTGAGCTCCAGAGTCGCTAAATGGGACTCGAACCGAACATGTGACCCCACCAATGTATTCCTCGTTCGGAGATCAGTCCATTGGTGGGGTCACACGTTCGGTTCGAGTCCTGCTTAGCGACTCTGGAGCTCAAAACGCGTCTAGGGTTTCGGCCGCTCCCACACTGTGTCCTGCCAGGACGGCCAGAATGGCTCTCTATTGCCAACCGAGCATTACCCGGCAACGGCCGACAGTTGCCGTGGCGGCCGCGGATTTTTAAATATTTTTTTTTACCGTGCTTTATTATTTTGTTTTATTTTTCGTGCTGAACCGAAAGCGGTTCTAGTGACAGACACGCGATGGAGGGTGACAGCTTGTTCGGCGACGACCACGACGAGGCTAGCAGTGGCAGCGGGGGCGACGATGACGACGACTCGGGCAGCGAGGCCAGTTTCGCCAACCTCAACGAGCACGACCGCCAGGTAGATGGCTGCCGCGCCGCGTCCGCAGTGGTGCCAACAAACGTGGCGAAGCTCACGCGTGGCGCGCGTCAGTTGGCAGAACTGCAGGAGCTGGAGGACGTGATCCAGAAGGAGACCTACCATGTCCTGCCTATCATGGAGTCCCGCCAGGGCTTCACGAACCTCGCCGCCAACGTGCAGCGCATCGGCCAGGTTCGTTAAGGCCGTGCTGGCGGAGGCCGTCGACGCCGTGCCCCACGCCGCGCCGTAACGTCCTTAACGCGCATCCAGGCGGGCCGCGACGCCGTGGACTGGGGCCGGGCGTGCCTCCAGGACGCCGTGGTGGCGCGCGCCGAGGCCGACAGGGCCCTGGTGGAGGAGCGCGCGCTGCAGGCCGAGCTGGCCGAGCTGCGGGACAAGCTGGCGGCCCAGGAGCGGCAGACGGCCGCGTCGCGCGCAGAGGCGGACGCCAGCCACGCCCGCGAGCAGCAGACCCTCGTGCTGCTGGAGGAGCTTCGCGCCGAGGTGACGCGCGTCCGCGCGCGCGCCGAGACCCTGGCCCCCCTGGGGCCCCCCAGCCAGCGCAGCAGCGGCAGCAGCGGCGGCACCGTCGCCCCGCACTCCCGGCAGAGCGGCGACCTGGACGACCTGGACGCGCGGCACCGCGTCGTGCGCGAGCAGCACCTCGCCGAGGAGCTGGCGCACGTCAGGGAGCTGTTGCGGTCCACGTACAACGACCAGGACGCCATCGCCAGGTGCGCGTCTCTCTCGCACTCGTGGCGGCAGGCAGACGGAGAGAGACAGCCCCGTGGTCCCCAGGCGGGCGTCCTTCGCCAACCTGCGCGCCACCCAGCTGGCCGAAGACCTGTCGGCGGCGCAGGCCGCGCACGCCCTGGAGGTGCGCCAGAAGGAGAACCTGGAGGTGGACGTGAAGAACCTGCGGCAGGACGTGGAGGCGCGCGGCGCGGAGATCGACGGGTTGCAGACGGTGCTGGACGCGGCGAGGGACCGCATCGACCTCCAGGTCCGTACAGTGGGCCAGAAAACCGGTGGAGGCGGCCGAAACTCCAGACGCGTTTTGAGCGCCAGAGTCGCTAAATGGGACTCGAACCGAACGTGTGACCCCACCAATGGACTGCTCTCCGGACGAGGAATCCATTGGTGGGGTCACACGCTCGGTTCGCGCTGTGCAGGAGAAGATGCTGCGCGACGCGGCGCTGCGCGAGGACAGGCTGCGGAAGCGCGGCGAGCAGCTGCAGCGCGCGGTGGACCGCAGCGAGCAGCACGCCAACGGCCTGCAACAGGTGCGCGCTGTCTCTCTCGCTCTCGGGACCGTCCCGCTGGGAAGAGAGAGAGAGTGACTGAGGGCGCGGCAGAGTCTGTCTCCGTCGCGCTCGCGTGGCTCTACGTGAAGGTGCAAGAGAGACGGCCCGGCAGGTGGTGGAGCAGCGCAAGCAGGCCGAGGACGAGGTGCGGGCCCAGCTGCACGTGGCCGAACTGGAGCTGGGCCGGCAGCGCCGCAAGGTGCAGCAGCTGGAGAAGGCGCGCGACGCGGCCGTGGCCAAGGTCCGCCAGACGGACGCCAGGGCGGCCGCGCTGCAGGCCGAGCGCGACGCCCAGGCCGCCGACAGCGCCGACCTGCGCCGCGAGCTGGAGGTGGGCCTCGCCGTACTGTGGATTTGCCAGAAGGCCGGTGGAGGCGGCCACAACTCTAGACGCGTTTTGAGCTCCAGAGTAGCTTAAGTGGGACTCGAACCGAGCGTGCGACCCCACCAATGGATTCCTCGTTCGGAGAGCAATCCGTTGGTGGGGTCACACGTTCGGTTCGAGTCCCAGTAAGCGACTCTGACGGCGGCGTGCTTGTAGACGCTGAGGGAGGAGGCGGCCGCGGCGGAGCGCAGGGCGGCGCAGCTGGCGGCGCGCAACGTGGAGATGGAGTCCCGGCGGCACCGCCTCAGCAGGGTGGCGGACCAGCAGGCGCGCGTGCTGCGCACCAAGCAGAAGCTGTGGGACGACCTGAGCCGCGAGTACGCGCTGTGCCGCAAGCGCGCCCGCCAGGACGAGACCGCCAAGGAGCGGCTGCACCACGAGAAGGAGCACCTGGCCGCCAGCCTGGCCGACAAGGGCATGCGCATCGAGGTGCTGGCCGAGGACCAGCGCGTCAAGGACCTGCGGCTGGCGGCCGTGCAGAGGGAGATGGCCGAGGCCGCCGCGGCGCAGCTCAAGCTGTCCGCGCAGCTCGACGGCGTCCGCGGCCAGCTCTCCGCCGCGCTGCGGGACCTCGCCGAGCAGCGCGAGCGCACCCAGGACGCCGGCGCCAAGATGAAGGCCCTGGACGAGGCCAACGAGCAGCTCAAGGAGGAGGCCGCCACCAAGGAGAAGCAGGTGCACGAGGCGCTGTGGGCCAGAAGACCGGTGGAGGCGGCTGAAACTCTAGACGCGTTCTGAGCTGCAGAGTCGCTAAATGAGACTCGAACCGAACGTGTGACCCCACCAATGGATTGCTCTCCGAACGAGGAATCCATTGGTGGGGTCGCACGCTCGGTCCGAGTCCCATTTAGCGACTCTGGCGCCCTGCAACCAGACGGCGCAACTGGAGCGGCTGCTGACGCGCGCGCGCAACGAGACGCACGCTGCGGCCGTGCAGCGGCTCGACGTGCAGCGCGCTCGCAGGTGCGCGAGCCGTCCGCCGCTGCCGCCTGCCGAGTGCTCCGGAGGCGACTCGGGGGCGGCCCTGCGACAGGGGAGCGCGCGCACCTCGGAGCGCCGACGTGCTCGCCAGCGGGAGGCTGACGCGCGTGACGGGGTGCTCGGGGTGGCGGAGGGCCGTCGACGGGGCTCGGGGTGCGGAGGGCCGTCGACGGTGCTCGGGTGGCGGAGGGCCGTCGACGGGATGCTCGGGTGGCGGAGGGCCGTCGACGGGGTGCTCGGGGTGGCGGAGGGCCGTCGACGGGGTGCTCGGGGTGGCGGAGGGCCGTCGACGGGGTGCTCGGGGTGGCGGAGGGCCGTCGACGGGGTGCTCGGGGTGGCGGAGGGCCGTCGACGGGGTGCTCGGGGTGGTGGAGGGCCGTCGACGGGGTGCTCGGGGTGGTGGAGGACGGGGTGCTGACGGCGAGGGCGGCCTGCAGGTGCGGCGCAACGACGAGGTGACCCTGCTCCGCAACAAGGAACGCCTGCTGGAGGAGACGCTGGTGAGAGGCCGGCGCACGCTGGTGGCGCACCAAGAGGACGTCCGTCTGCTCAAGATCGAGGTAGGCGTCAACGCGGCAACGCTCCGCCTTCCACGACCCTGGCGTCCGAAGTAGCGACGAGCTTGGTGTCCTTGGAGGTGCGGCGGCTGCGCGCCGAGCGCCACCAGCTGGGCCGGCACGTCAACATGCTGCCCGGCCTGCGCGCCGAGCTGAGCCGCGCCGTGCAGGACCTGACCCTGGACCGCGTCCGCCTGCGCGCCCTGGAGGACGAGATGTCGTGCCCGCTCAACGTGCACCGCTGGAGGAAGCTGGAGGGGTCGGACCCCGACACGCACGAGCTGCTGCTCAAGGTGAACATCGCCCGAACCAAGACGCACCGGGACCCCGGCCTGCTTCATCCAGTGCGTCTCTGCGTTGCGCAGGTGCACATCCTGCAGAAGCGCATCCTCAGGATGTCGGCGGCCGCGCTGCGCAGGGAGGCACACCTCCGCCGCACCGAGGGCCTGTACGCCGCGCTGCGCCGGGCGGTCTGCCCCTCCGAAGGTGGGGCTCGGACCGAGCGTGTGACCCCACCAATGGGTTCCTCGTTCGGAGAGCAGTCCATTGGAGGGGTCACACGTTCGGTTCGAGTGCCATTTAGCGACCGTGGAGCTCCACAAACGCGTCCAGAATTTTGGCCGCCCCACCGGTCCTCTGGCCCACTGTGCGGGACGTTGTGCTGCAGGCATGCCGGCGCCGCACGGTGTGCCCCGCCACATGCGTCTCGCGGCGCGCGGCCGCCACCTCAAGGCCCTCATCGCCGAGGTGTCTGCGCTGGAGGCCATGGCGGACCAGAAGGCGGCGACCAGGCTGCTGGCCGAGGTGGACCTGCGCAAGCGCAAGGCCCCCGGCGACGGACAGGCCGAGCTGGAGCTGGAGGCACCGCGCGCCAAGCTGCCCGCCGCCCCCGGCACCGCCCCCGGCACCGTCACCTGCCCGCCGTACTCCGCGTGCTTCTTGACGGCCGCCCCCGCTCCGCCCCCAACAGCCGCGGCCGAAGAACTGACCTCGCCCTGCAACTGACTGCCTCCGGCTTTAGCACCCCGTTGCGCTGGCCCGGACGTGTCTCCGCTCCGCTGCCACTTCGTAGTGTACTAGCATTGGTCCTGTTATTGACTGCACCCTCCTGAGAGTGGACTCTATTCGCGTCTCTTTGTCTGTAGTATTGCTGTATCGCTGCCCCTGTCACTTAAACCTTTTCCGTTCATTTTGCAACCTGCCCCACTTCTCCTCCCGCCGCGACACATCGTGAGGAAATTTGCCCGCTCGGAAGGCAGCA